CCAGCATGAGCCTTCTTGTGGTTGTCATCGTCCGCCTTCTTAGTGGCCATGATCTTTGTGGTCGTCATCACTAGCGGAGCAACATCCGCAGCAACGGCAACGGCATCATCACTAGCAATGACAGCAACGCCAGCACCACTAGTAGCAACAGCCCCAGCAACAGAACAAGACAAACAAAGAACAGCAGCACCACAGCATCGACATCATCGTCACCATCCTCGTCAGCATCATCATCAGTGTCATCATCACCATCATCATCACCATCCTCAGCCACCTGCTCCTCACCATCGTCGTTATCATCGTCGTCATCATGCTCATCCTCATCCTGATCCTCATCCTCATCAAAAATCCTCATCATCATCATCATGGCGGTCGTGGTGGTGGTGGTGGTGGTGGTGGTGGTGGTAGTGGTCGTCGTCATAATCGTCGAGCACTTTCTGCTGATCATCAACTCCATGTTGACTCCATCACCCCCGCAAGCACATTATCACCGTCTTACATCTTCTTAAACTCCAGATCAGGGTAAAGAGCATTCACGATTGCCCACATGGTTCTGCTCACCAGCGCCACAGTGAGAAATACATTCCCAGTACCGTCGCTGGCATCGCCGCCAGTCTTCCCATGCACTGCATTCAGCGAGCGCAGTTTTATGGATCGAAGCATGTGAGATCTGACAGTAGTTCAGCGTAACCCGCTGACGCTGGTGTCATGCCGAGTTCCTTAACACAGGATGGTCATTACTAATCAAAGAATCGACAAGGACCGGAACGTTTGGTTCAAGGGTGACATGTGAGCTGAATGCCATGGTTTGCGGCGGATCCTCGCGAGTGCTACGAAGTCATAAGGCAGAGATTCCATCGGAGAGCTGTCTTCAAAAGGTTCGGGCTTTCACAAGACTTCGGAACTGGATTTTTGATTGCGCGAGCTGCTTGCAGAAGACGAGCATTTCAACGTTGCTGTGGGCATCATCCCTTGCTCACTGCTTTTCATGTTTTTTTTTTCTGCATTGTGGTGTAATTGCTGCAATTCGCTGCTTGAAGATTTCGTGCAATTTCACGGTGTGTCACACTTGGGCATACACGGCAAGTTAGCCTAGTTTTTCTGATTTCTTGTGTCTTTCTATTTTTGGTTGCTTTAACTCAGCCGTCCTATTCACGAAGAGGGGTACAGCTTGTCTGAGACACGCCGCATCTCTTGCAACGACGTTTGACAGGAAGGAGCGATTCGGGCCTGTTGCTTCGGCTAAACCGGAGACCTGAAACCTCAACGCCCCTGAAACCGCGATACCCTGAAATGCAAAATTCCGGGACCCTCACAGCCCCAGAACCTACAACTTGGGGTAAGCTTTGTCGCTTTCAGGTGGCAGCCTCAGGTCCCGGCTCCACTGCTCCACAACAGAGGCAAGCATCCTGTTAATCAGGATTCCTCTGGGGGTGCCGCCCCTGGCCTTTTTCATTCGGAAGCTCAAACATACCTCTGCGTCCGAGGGCCGTTTAGGATTCGCATTTGGAGATCTCTGCAAAAGCGGCTAAGAAATCAGCTTGAAAGATCCATGATGTAAAGGTTTAAGGTATGTCTGTGAGAACTTAGCATGCTGTGGGTTCGTGTCCAGGCAAGAGGCGTGCAGCATCCGCTGTAAGGCTTTCCGCGTCTTTGCGGCAGGTCCAATTCCGGCGTGCCGCTCCAGCATCGCTTCCAGCAGGCGGTCCGGGTCGGAGCTCGGCATCTGTCACATAGAGTAATGGACTCTATTTTCCGACTGCCAACCCTAAACCCTAAACGGCCCAACCCCGCAGTTACTACCAAACAGGTGCAAAGAAGATTGCGCTTGGAAACTGTCAAGTCGAGTGGCCATACCACTCTGCAGCGAAAGGGAGCTTGCCAGATTGGCAGTTTATGGGACTTGGTAGGTAGTTACTCTACCTATTTCGGATTTAGGGCCAGTTCAGGGTTTAGACACCCGCCTTTGCAGCGAGCTACAGAACTGTGGGCTAGGTGGGGTGCCTGGGAGCGTTCGTTTAGACTTAAAACATCTTATGACGTCCTGCTGCCAGGCAGACCCCTTCCGCAGCGCAACATCGCTGCCGCAGCTCCTCCTCAATAACATGTGGAAGCAGGAGGGCAATCTGCATGATGCCAAAAATATCAACACCTTGACTGCCCCGCAACATGAACAGTAAAGGACTCATTAGACTCATCGCTTCGTTGATGCCTTGAGCTTGCCAAAATCACTCTTGATCGGTGGATGCTCAGGATCTCTCGAGGCTGCAGCTCGGCAATGCGCGTCTGCGATGCAGCTTCCCAGTGGCAGCGAGCCACGGCGCTGGTTGAGACGGTGCTGAAGCTCCCCGTCTCGGCTATTTACAGAGAATTGAGGTCTCCAGATGTGCAGAACTGAACGCTTGGCAAAAAGGCAGGCAGTGGCAGCGAGCCATTCGGTCGCTCAAGGACTGAACCGTGAGTGAAGCTGCATAAAGTAACTGGTGCTGGGCTGCCCGGTTCCCACAGACTCTCGTTCTCGTGTGTGTGTGTGTGTGCGTGTTGGTGGGGGGGGGGGGGGTGTGTTTGATCTCCACGCCGAACAGTTGTGGCGTCGGCCACAGCTCCAATATCCGGAGTATCTGCGTCGCAGTTTGTGGGCGGACGTGGTAATGTGTGGCCCATCATCAGGCTGGATGTGTTGAGCTGTCACATTGGGTGGGACTTTAAGGCTCATGTTTGCCTCGACAGAGTTCGCAGACTGAGCAGCGAGAGGCGACGCAACTTCATGTCTCTGGCTCTACCGCTCTGAGGCGAGTGGCAAGACGCCAAGCACCTGCTTGATTGAGGAGGGTGAGACTTCACTGCATTGGTTGCAGATTTGACGTTGCGGCTTTTGAGGCACAGAGGTTCCTACATTATTGTGTCTTGCGGGCTGAGACCAGCCGGCGGCAAAACACTTGCTCAAAGTGCGGATAGGTCCCAGGCCCTGATCCCAAGCATTGAACTGCAAAGCTTAGAGCCTTAACTTTCCACAAAGTTTAGGTTCCCTCAAACCCAGGTCTCAAGACCCTCGCCCCATCCAAAATCCATCAGCCAAAGACTTCCTTAATTGGACGCATTACACGCAACCCTTTCAGCGTTTTGTTCTCTTGCCAGACGAAGGTTCGAACTGGAGAAGGGCCGCAGAATTTCTGATGGCGGCCGGAAAGAAGAAGCTGCGATCCACGGTGACTTCCGAGGAGAGCTCCGAGGTCTAGGGGATGGTGGGTTTATTTTGCAGTTCGGTTTAGGGCCGGGCTCCTTCAGGTTTGTCGAGGCAGCTGAGATTTTAGTTGGTTTCAGGGAGGGTCGAAAAGCTGCCGAAATCGCTTGGTGGAGTCGGTGGAGTCCTTGCCTGTCCCGACCGGGTTGTCTGAAGTAACCACTTGTGGCACGATGCTGGCTCCACAGCTGAAGGGATCCTCCGAGTATTCACTCCAGGGTTGGAGGGCCAGTTTGTTGCACAGTTGGTCAGAAGCATGCTCTGACTCTAAACCCGTGCGCACCGACTGCCACTGAATCTGCCTGCCAGGCAGGTTCATCTGCGATGCAGTCCCAGCAGCGGAGCCGCGGAGCCCTCAGAGTCTTTGCCGCAGCCTCCCCTGAACGCCTCAGTGCCTGCTCTCGGTTAGCCTAGGGCCCCAGGGCCGTACTGACAGTGCAGAAGCTGCTTCCGTGTTCCGGGCTCAGAGAACCCGCCCCTCAACATATCGGGAAAAACTTTCTCCAAAGCTGAGAAGCCCTTCTCCCAATGCCCACTGGAAGGCCCAGGGCCCTCAAGTCCTACATCCTCCGAGTCCTAAGCTCCTTTGTTAAGGCCGAACGTCGTCACTTTGAGATCGGTGCTTTCCGCTTTGGGCATGGGCGCGAGCTGGGAAACCGTTCTGGATCACCGGAGAGCCTCAGATGCAGCAATGCAGCCCAACGATGCTCGGACGCTACCGGACCCTGCGTCTTGAAACTGCTGCCAGGCAGACCACTTCCACAGCGCAACATCGCTGCCGCAGCTCCTCCTCAGAAACATGTGGAAGCAGGAGGGCAATCTGCATGATGCCGGACAAAAATCCACACATTGGCTGCCTCACAACATGAACAGTGAAGGATGCAACAAGAATGTATAAAAGGTTCTTTGGGTCTTCGCATTGAAGTTGAGAGAAGGCTTTTGGAGTGGACCGCGCCTCAGGAGTTTGCCGTGAGTGCGGCCACCAGCAGATGCGAGCAGAGCGACGTTTCGGGTTCAGAGCATGCAGTCCAATCAGTTTACACTGCGCCTACAGGGCTGATGGGTTCTGGTTTTGGCGTGAGTGAACACGAGCTCCTTCCCTTTAAGCTCAAGACCATGTGCGATCTCAGGTCGGCCAATGGCATCGCCTTCGGTGCAGTCGCTGCAGCCTGCGAGCGAGCGAGGTGAGCGTAGGCATGCCAGCGAGAGCCAGAATGGAAAAGCGGAAGGTGACTGCAGCGCAGAATCCTGCTCGTTGATCGCTATATTGATATTGGAAGGGAAGTGCAAACAAAGGAAGACTCGAGAAGTACAGGATGCCGTGCAAATTCGAAATCCACGGGGACACTACGTGCAGGTCACACGCTGCCAAGTTAAGTGCGCATGACGTTTGAGCCAGAATTTGGGGGCGGTGGGGGTTGCCCGGTCGATTCGACACCAATGCATAGATGTATGCATAGGTCAATTGGTGAATGCATCCATGCATGGTTGGATGAAGTATGCCTGTATATTGAACATATCACGTCACGTAGACAGAAAGACTTTGCCACATCCGTTTGGCTCAAGCTACTTGCAGCAGAAAGGCACGTGATCATTCATGATCAGGGTTCGGACAGCATTCACGATTGCCCGCACGGCTTGGTCACCAGCGCCACAGTGAGACTTACAGTCTTCCCATGCGCTGCATTCAGCGAGCGCAGTTGTATGGATCGAAGCATATGAGATCTGACAGTATTTCAACGTAACCTGCTGAATCATGTCGGTGCTGCTCTTCAACGTCTTCGTGGAGGCTTTGCAGATCGCCGCCAAGGAGGACAGGGTGCAGACGCACTTGACACTTCCAGACGGAACCTCCTGTCGTTGCTTAGGCCATTGCGCAGCGGCGCCTCTTCGAAAGAGAGCTCGCCGCAGAGCTGGCCAAATGGAGTTGCTGCTGCTGTCCCGCAGCGGCCTTGGTGGGTCGCGTTTGGACTTGCTCCCTGCACTGTTGAGTTCCGCACTCTGTTCCCCCCGTGCCCTCACGCTTCGAAGCTCTTCGGGTGTTAGGGGTCCGCTTTTTGTGACGTTATTCATTCCGTTTTTATTCCTCCTGGTGCTACCAGTAGTCCTAGGTTCATCTCCGGCCCCGGTTTGCCGTGCGAGCTTGTCACATTGCCCTGAGGCAAAGGAGGTGGACAAGCACGACTTTGTGGTGTGATGTGCGAAGGTTGGGCACCGGGCGGGATGGGCGGCGAAGAAAAGCGTTGGGAGTGGTGTGTGTCCTGGGTGTTGGCAGCAACGAATGGCAAGGATGGCCGGGGCACCCCCGCAAGATGCACCCCCCCCCCACCCCCCAAGCTAGGAAGGATATCATTGGCTTGGAAAAGCAGGGTTTGGAAGCAACATTCAGCCACAGAGGTAGGGGAAATGGCATGTGCCCCTGCAAACGACTGTGCCCTAGTAAGGCTTATTGGGCTCGATTGGGCTTTGATAATTCATAAAGCCTTAATTATAAGGCCTTACAAGGCCTTAGAAGGCCTTACAGTGGCAGGCTTGGCTTTGGCAGGCAGGGTCCTTGGTCATTGAGGCTCAGCTTGAGCTTTTTAAGGTTCGTCCCAGGCCCGAGTAGGCCTTACTTATTTGGGGAGGTCCCGAGGCGAAACATGTTGACAGGCACGAGTTCGCTGTGTGAGGTTGGGCACTGGGGGTTGGTGAGGATGCCTGAGAGCGCTCGTTTAGAGTCAAGACTTCCCGCTGCCAGGCAGACCGCCTCGGCAATGCAGCATGGCTCCCGCAGCTCCTCCTCAATAGCATGTGCAAGCAAGAGCACAATCTGCATGATGCCGGACAAAAAGCAATACACTGGCTGCCGCAGAAAAGTATCAATGAAGGACTCAATAAGCTCATCACTTCGTTGATGCCTTAAGCTAGACAAAATCGCTCTGGGTCGGTGGATGCTCAGGATCGTCGGCAACCGGTCTATCAGCGCATGCCAAAGGTATGCAGGATGGGAGGATTCTTGCTCGCAATCGCTTGGCGTCCCTCTTCCAGGTTAGAAGGCTTCGTTAGTCGAAGCGTTGATGTTGAAAGAGGCCGGGGAAGGGGAAAGCCGGCAAGCCCAAGCCTTCAGCTCTCGAGGCTGCAGCACGGCAACGAGCGTCCGCGATGCAGCTTCACGGTGGCAGCGAGCCACCGTGCTGCTTGAGACAACGAAGGCCGCCCTGGGGCCCGGAAGCTGAAACTTCAGTGCTGAAGCTCCCCCGTCACGGCTATTTACAGAGAATTGAGGTCTCCCGACGTGATCATGTACGACGCAGACATGGACGCCTGTCAAGAAGGCAGGCAATGTCAGCGATCCACCCGGTCGCTCAAGGACTGAATCGTGAGTGTGCAGAAAACAGCCGTTGCCGGGCTGCCTGGTTCCCATAAACTTCGCTGTAGTAGGTTCGCTCTTCGTGTCTGTGTGTGTGTGTGTGTCGGCGTGTGTCTCTGTGTGTGTGTGTGTGTGTGTGTATGTGATCTGCTCGCCGAACGGTTGCGGCCTCGGTCACAGCTCTACTTTGGGAGGATCTGTGCTGCAGTTGTGGACGGACGCGGTAACGTTCAACGCCGCCATGTGTGACCCATCATCAGGCTGGATGTGTTGTGGTGTCACATCGGGTAGGATTTTCTAACTTGGTAGGTTTGAATGCAGAGTTCGCAGATAGAGCAGCGAGAGGCGACGCACCTCCAAGACTCCTGCAATATACTGTATGTCTGTATTATATTTGTATATGTTTAAGATAATACACCCCGAGATCTAAAATGATTGCAATTAGTACAAGCTGAAATCTTTGCCCAAGGTGACGAGCGTCCGACGCCCCTTGCCCGGGGTAGCCACTCCTTCGCCCTTTCTACACTTACGGAGTCCCTGGCCCTGCCGGCGGTGGCAGAGACCCAGGACTGTCAGATTTCTTAATGATCTCCATAACTACTATAGGTTAACCAACTATCCAAGTCTATGACTAGGGAAAACAGAAGTGGATGTGTTGGACACAGGTAGGAGTTTGGGGTCCAGGGATTTTCAAGGTTGATACTTTACTACTAGCCTGTGCTCACATTGTGAGAGTGAGTGTTTACGCAATACAGATACTTTCTGCAGCGTGCATCGGAAACATGCAATCCCAGAGCAACAAGCCAGCAGCGCCAGCATACAAGAAACATGATGCTGAGCCCCTCAGTCGAGACACGGGGTCCTTATCATATCGGAATCCCCGGTGCAGCAACACATCGCAAGTGTGTATGTACATATGTACGTATGTACACATATATCCATATGTATACATATATGTATATGCGCAGATGTATAGATGTACGCATATTGAACTGTCGTCATCCTTTGTTTGACTAGATCTCCTCGCCCAGCAGGAGTCCAAAGCAGTGAAGCGACTACAAGCAGCATATTTCGACCTCGTCTGCCGCATGCGCCCAGATCGATCGGGCAATTTCCAAGTCGGTGTCTGGACTGCATGGTATCGTAGTACCCGGGAGGTAAGATACAGTCAGCATACTACAGCAGTCCGCCTGCAGTGCAAATAGTATGCTATAAATGGGCTACACGGCGAGGTGAGATGTGCAACTGATGACTCTGCCCGAGTCGACTATGTCCTGGACCTACATGATGTTAGAGTGGTAACGGGCTGGAGCAATGTGCATAACACGTCGCAGCACTCCGGGCCATCTAGGGTCCTTGCTGGTCCCATCGAAGGCGCGCTGCCCGATCAGCCTGCGCTGCCGGAGCATGCCGAGCACCTGGAGGCGAGGAATGCGCCCCGTTTTCGTCAAGTCATTGCCGTATTGGCTGTGAGACGGTTACAGTCTTTTTGCGATTGTTGTCAGGCTTGTATAGTTCTTGTTGATCATGGTGATGATGATGACTATTTGATGGTCAAGCTGATGATAATGTCTGTGTTGTGTTGCTTGGGCTTCTTTTTCATCTTTGTTGAGGCAGAAAACCCCGGGGGCTACTAAACATAGTCATCTTTGTTCTGGGTCCAAGGCTGTTGCTGGCTATGAGCTATGGGTGTGAACTGCAGGAGTAGGAAGTGGGGGAGGAGAAGCCGTCTTCTCCTTGTCGTTGTCATGGTCGTCCTTGTGTTGGTCATTGTTGTTTTCAACGATGAATCCCTTTTCGGGCTTTCGTTTTGCGAGCACGCGCACGCTCCAGCTCGTCGCAGGTAAAAGCGGCCAAGCCGGCACGCCTCCTCTTTCTACATGCCTCGCCCCTCTGTGTACTCACGCGTGGGCCGAATGGGCAGTCAAAGTACGCCCCCCTGCCGCGGCTGAAGATCGACCGCGAGGCAGAAAAGGGGAGTTCCTTCTTGACTTTTGTCGCTTTTGGAGCCTCAATGCTGAATCTCCAGTGCTTGCGAAAGTCAGACTGAGGGATTGACAGATTGATGGCTTCCATGTTTGCAATCATTGCTGAAACAGTAGTAGCAGGAGAAGAGTTGGCTTATAGCTAAGACGATGATACTACACAGCTGCTGTTGCAGGGACTGTAAGACTGATCGTAGATTTGTCATAAAAGCTGTGATCTTTTGCCGACATAGCAGCGACCTGGCAAGTCGTTCGGAGAAGTCATTCCCCCAATACGATACCATGTAGTGGCCAGTGGTATCTGGCAACCTTCCCAAACCAGCGGCACCGGCAATAGCTGTTAGCTAGCCTTTGTTGGAGACATGTTCAACAGTTAGCAATACTTCGTAATGCAGAGTCGAACAGTCCCAACAACCAAGACAACAGTTAATTCTAGGCCTGGAGGCAATGACATTTCCTTTAGAGTCAATGTTGTCAATGTTGGATTGTAGGTCATCGGCAGCTGCCATAGTTGTGCCCTGAGTCTACCTCGAGTCTTAACATCACTCCCGGCAGGATTTTTTACTTTCCGGCTCCATGACTGCAGTGCAGGTTCACGCCGTACGCGAAGCATTGCAAGGAGCCGTCGACGTGAAGGTGAGGGAATCTTCGGATCGGCTTGCACGCTGGGGCTCTTCGTGTTCAGGTCCATAGTTCTAGATTCAGGATCACGCTAAGCTCCAACTCATACAGCCCACACCCTAAAGCCCATGTGTGCTATGATGTATACTTATACCAGATCGTCGATCACCTAAGCAAACATATGTCAGAAGCACAGTTGAGCTACTCTTGACTTTTCTGCCTCCAGAACATTGCGTTTAGTGCGGGGCCACTGATCATCTGAATGGAGGCTCCAGCGACTATGGCTATGGGTATGTAACATAGTATATACATGTTTCATGCGTGCTGGCCTGGGCGCTCAGGCTTTAGGCTTTTTCTCTTCAGGGGTTGAGCGGGAACGCAGGTGAAGACCGCCTCCGTCCACAATCTCCGCAAGGCGGTCACAGAAGGACATTCTTCGGCAGGGAGGGATGATCCAGACGATGATGCATGCAAGGGCTTATGCCACGAAGACTTGAAGCATACATGGGCCCGATAGAGCTTCGGAATTGGGGGTTCCGTGTCCGGTGTGTTTCTCCCTGTAAAGGAAACCTTTGGCTCCACCTTTCTGCGCATACTGCCAACGAGAGCACCTTGGTGCTTGAGGCCGGCTGGGGTTTGTGTTGGGGCTGTACAGGTTCTTCAATGATTCAATAGGGGCCCCAATAAACTTTCTGTAAGGTTCTGGTATATTTGAAACTCTTCAATGATATAGGGGCCCCAATAATTTCTATAAGGTTCTATAGTATCTTTGAAACTTATGGAAATCAGGAACCAGCTGTAGGGGGGTTCTGGGGTTGGATGACGAGGGTGCTGGAAGATCTTGATTGGGGTTCCTCTTCGGTATCTACATGTTCGTTCTGAATTTGCAAAGGACCTGCAACTGCCACATCTGCCAGGAGGAGGTGAAGGTGATAATTTGTAATCGCCACAAACAGGCGCAAAATGATCCATAGCCTCAGCCTTAGAAAGCCTTAGAACCTTTATAGGGGCTCTAAATGAACCCGGACCCTGCACCCCCCCGAAGCTCAAACCAAACCCCGAACCCTAGAACCTCCACCCCTAAATCCAAAGTAAACTCCAACACACATGCAAGAAAGCCTTGACCCAAAGCGCTCTACTGAAGGACGTAGACGGCAGAGGATTGAAACAGAGTTTAGATCTCGGATCTCTGGGGTTCAGGGCTTCGTTCGGGTTTCCGCGGATTCGCTGCAATCCAGCAGTCTAAGGTCCTCAACCCGCCGCTCCATCTGAGAGTTCCAGAAGAAGATAATGTGGGTGGGATCCTTAGCATAAGGACCCCTAGAAAGCGCTGAATCCAAACGCTAGTAAGCCCAGGAAAACGCGTTTGGAAGTGTAGTTCAAAGCTTTCGCAACTCCTCTGAAGGATGGTTTCGGAGGCACCGAGGTGCACTGACGACGGGGGTCTGGGGGTGAGGCTTGAGAGATTTATGGGCCAGCTTGGCGGGGGAAAGGATTTTGGGGGTCTTTGGCCTATAGGTTCAAGGAAATTTTGGGTTTGGGATGTAGGGCTCATCACTTGGATTCTACGGCTGTGCCCCGAGACTGCTCTTAGCATTCCTGCGGATCTTCTGCTGTACTCATGCCAGAGGTGGTTTGCACATTGAAGTAGATTCAAAAAAGGAGGGTATCAGGGTGTTCAGGGTTGTAGGGGCAAGGACAGGCTGACCCCGGAGCTCACCATCTTGTATCCCCCCTACAATTTTTTCTCAGCCAGCCTATTCAATAGAAACAAAAACCCACTCTGCTAAAGCGCCAAAACACAAAGCACCTCCGCCGAAAGCCCAATCCTAAACCCTAAACCCTAATTCAATCTCTTAAGGCCCTACATAACCCCAAACCCTAAACTCTACACCCTAAACCCTATAGGTCACATTCCCAAGGCCCCACACAACCCTAAACCCTAAACTCTAAACTGACTCTAAACCCTAAACCCTAATTAAAATTCCCAAGGCTCCACATTCTGCCCCCAACCGCCCAGGTCGAAGCCGACCTCGAGGGAGGCGACCCTGGATTTCGCCTCTTCTCGAACACCAATGTCCTGCTGCAGGCGGGATGTTTTAGGGGGTTATAGGGTTTAGGGTTGAGGGGGGGGGGGATTTCTAGGGGGGTTATAGGGTCATCGTGTTTAGGTTTGTGGGGTTTTGGGCTATGGATCAAAAGGGGACAGCCATCGGGACAAACCCACTTCTGACCACTCTCTGCTTTCTTGGATGTAAGGCTTTAGGGTCTTAGGCAAAAGGCAGGAATTCACCACTTCGAAGAACATGTTGCGCTTTCGGGCTTTGAAGAGTGCACCTGCATGGACAGAGCAACTCGTGTCTGGCGGAACATCTCCCGCTGCCATGGCATTGCGTTGACGTTCAGTATTGGCCGGGCCATGCTCCTGCACTTCCGGGTTCAGAGCAGTCCAATCAGTTTACACTGCGCCTACAGGGCTGATGGGTTCGGGTTTTGGCGTGAGTACGAGCTCCTTCCCTTTAAGCTCAAGACCATGTGCGATCTCAGGTCGGCCAATGACATCGCCTTCCATGCAGTCGCTGCAGCCTGCGAGCGAGCGAGGTGAGCGTAGGCCTGCCAGCGAGAGCCAGAATGGAAAAGCGGAAGGTGACTGCAGCGCAGAATCCTGCTCGTTGATCGCTAGTGCTATTGAGAAGAAACTCGAGAAGCAGAGGACCACAAAGACACTACGTGCATGTCACACGCTGCCAGACTTAATGGTGCGCGTGATCTTGGAACTAGAATTTGGGCGGGTGGGGGTTGCCCGGTCGATTCGATACCAATGCATAGATGTATGCATAGGTCAATTGGGGCTGTGTAATAACCCCGCGCCTCTTCGTTCTGTGTTCGCTGGGCGCCTGTTGGAAGGATAGTGTTTTGGCTGGAAAAACGATAAGAAGAAAAAAAAACGATAACGTCAATTTATGATGTCAGTAGTCTTGTACATTATTTGCTGCTGATGGCTTGTATGTTGTGCATTCGCCGCGCCTGCAGAGTTCCACAACTCAAATCAAGCAGCTTCATCACAACCCTCACGAATGCATTTCGCCAGGGACTCTAAATGCATTCGGGCCCGCGCACTCGGGGTTGGGAGGAGCATGGACCACGTTGGGCTTTTTCACGGCGATTTGAACACGCACTAACCGCTTCGTCACCAACCTCGCGCATGCATTTTGGCACGGATTCTAAACGCATTTGCTCCCTGCACTCGGGTTTGTGAGTGCGGGGTATCTTGGGCTTTTACACGGCGATTTGGGCACGCACGAACCGCTTCGTCACCAACATCACGAATGCATTTCGGCACGGATTCTAAATGCATTCGGGACCGCGCACTCGGGGTTGGGAGGAGCTTGGGGCCAAGTTGGACTTTTTCACGGCGATTTGAGCACGCGCAAACCGCTTCGTCACCAACCTCGCGAATGCATTTTGGCATGGATTCTAAACACATTTGCTCCCTGCACTCGGGTTCCCTGCCCCTGAACCTCAAACCTTAAACCTTAACCCTAAACCCCAAACCCGAATCCCTAGCCCTTAACCGTAAACCATCTTAAACCATAAACCTGAACCCCGAACCTGAATCCCTACCCCTTAACCTTAAACCTTAACCTTAAGCCCCAAACCCGAATCCTTACCCCTTGACCTTAAACCTTAAACCTTGACCCTAAACCCCAAACCCGAATCCCCACCCCTTAACCTTCAACCTTAAACCTTAACCCCAAACCCTCATTGCAAACCGCTTCGTCACCAACCTAACGAATGCATTTCGGCACGGATTCTAAATGCATTTGCGCCCACGCACTCGGGCGTGGGAGCATGCATGTCGGCTGTTCACACGGCGATTTGGGCAACCGCTTCGCCGCCAACCTCGCGAATGCATTTTGGCACGGATTCTAAACGCATTTGCTCCCTGCACTCGGGTTTGGGAGTGTCAACAGTAGTACAGTGGACAGTAGTAATACGATAGTAGTACAGTAGTACAATAGTAATACAGTAATAGTGCAGTGGTAGTACAATAGTAGTACAGTAGTACACTAGTAGTACAGTAGTAGTACAACAGTAGTACAGTAGTACAGTAGTAATACAGTAATAGTACAGAAATAATACCAATAAGCAAAGCATAAAGCGAGCGCCTGAAACCCTAAACCCTAAACCCTAACAAACCCTAAACCCTAACGAACCCTAAACTCCTAAACCCTAACAAACCCTAAACCCTAAGCCCTAAACCCTTCCCAAAGGGGGGTCGGTCCAGATTGGACCCAAAATTGAATTTTTTATACAAACCTTAGTACTGGAGAGGCCTCTTTTGAGCTAGCGTCCAATCCCCGATTCGGCGGTTCACCCTAGATATGTTGGGCTGTTACACGGCGATTTGGGAACCGCTTCGTCACCAACATCACGAATGCATTTCGGCACGGATTCTAAATGCATTCGGGCCCGCGCACTCGGGGTTGGGAGGAGCTTGGGGCCAAGTTGGACTTTTTCACGGCGATTTGAGCACGCGCAAACCGCTTCGTCACCAACCTCGCGAATGCATTTTGGCACGGATTCTAAACGCATTTGCTCCCTGCACTCGGGTTCCCTGCCCCTGAACCTGAAACCTTAAATCTTAACCCTAAACCCCAAACCCGAAACCCTAGCCCTTAACCGTAAACCATCTTAAACCTTAAACCTCAAACCTAAACCCCGAACCTGAATCCCTACCCCTTAACCTTAAACCTTAACCTTAAGCCCCAAACCCGAATCCTTACCCCTTGACCTTAAACCTTAAACCTTGACCCTAAACCCCAAACCCGAATCCCTACCCCTTAACCTTCAACCTTAAACCTTAACCCCAAACCCTCATCCCAAACCGCTTCGTCACCAACCTAACGAATGCATTTCGGCACGGATTCTAAATGCATTTGCGCCCACGCACTCGGGCGTGGGAGCATGCATGTCGGCTGTTCACACGGCGATTTGGGCAACCGCTTCGCCGCCAACCTCGCGAATGCATTTTGGCACGGATTCTAAACGCATTTGCTCCCTGCACTCGGGTTTGGGAGTGTGGGGTATGTTGGGCTGTTACACGGCGATTTGGGAACCGCTTCGTTACCAACATCACGAATGCATTTCGGCACGGATTCTAAATGCATTCGGGCCCGCGCACTCGGGGTTGGGAGGAGCTTGGGGCCAAGTTGGACTTTTTCACGGCGATTTGAGCACGCGCAAACCGCTTCGTCACCAACCTCGCGCATGCATTTTGGCACGGATTCTAAACGCATTTGCTCCCTGCACTCGGGTTCCCTGCCCCTGAACCTGAAACCTTAAATCTTAACCCTAAACCCCAAACCCGAAACCCTAGCCCTTAACCGTAAACCATCTTAAACCTTAAACCTCAAACCTAAACCCCGAACCTGAATCCCTACCCCTTAACCTTAAACCTTAACCTTAAGCCCCAAACCCGAATCCTTACCCCTTGACCTTAAACCTTAAACCTTGACCCTAAACCCCAAACCCGAATCCCCACCCCTTAACCTTCAACCTTAAACCTTAACCCCAAACCCTCATCCCAAACCGCTTCGTCACCAACCTAACGAATGCATTTCGGCACGGATTCTAAATGCATTTGCGCCCACGCACTCGGGCGTGGGAGCATGCATGTCGGCTGAATTCACACGGCGATTTGGGCAACCGCTTCGCCGCCAACCTCGCGAATGCATTTTGGCACGGATTCTAAACGCATTTGCTCCCTGCACTCGGGTTTGGGAGTGTGGGGTATGTTGGGCTGTTACACGGCGATTTGGGAACCGCTTCGTCACCAACATCACGAATGCATTTCGGCACGGATTCTAAATGCATTCGGGCCCGCGCACTCGGGGTTGGGAGGAGCTTGGGGCCAAGTTGGGCTTTGTCACGGCGATTTGAACACGCACTAACCGCTTCGTCACCAACCTCGCGAATGCATTTTGGCACGGATTCGAAACGCACAGCTCCAGCGCGGAGTGAAAAGGTCCCCATCGGAATCCTATCAGACTAAGCTTGCAGCTTCATATCCCGTATATTTAAACCTACTTCACGCCAAAGAAGCACAACCACTGCCTTCGATATACGAATGTTTCCATGTCCCGTATACTATATACTACAGTTGTACTACACTTCAGTAAAAGGTTCTTTCATGGGAAAACGATAAGAAGAAAAAAAACGATAACGCCATTTAGCGTATAGGAACTGAACACGGGGTTTTCACACCACCCCAATTGGTGAATGCATCCATGCATGGTTGGATGAAGTATGTCTGTATATTGAACATATCACGTCACGTAGAAAGACAGACTTTGCCACATCCGTTTGGCTCAAGCTACTTGCAGCAGAAAGGCACGTGATCATTCATGATCAGGGTTCGGACAGCATTCACGATTGCCCACACGGCTTGGTCACCAGCGCCACAGTGAGACTTACAGTCTTCCCATGCGCTGCATTCAGCGAGCGCAGTTGTATGGATCGAAGCATATGAGATCTGACAGTATTTCAACGTAACCTGCTGAATCATGTCGGTGCTGCTCTTCAACGTCTTCGTGGAGGCTTTGCAGATCGCCGCCAAGGAGGACAGGGTACAGACGCACTTGACACTTCCAGACGGAACCTCCTGTCGTTGCTTAGGCCATTGCGCAGCGGCGCCTCTTCGAAAGAGAGCTCGCCGCAGAGCTGGCCAAATGGAGTTGCTGCTGCTGTCCCGCAGCGGCCTTGGTGGGTGGCATTTGGACTTGCTCCCTGCACTGTTGAGTTCCGCACTCTGTTCGCCCTGTACCCTCACGCTTCGAAGCTCTTCGGGTGTTAGGGGTCCGCTTTTTGTCACGTTATTCATTCCGTTTTTATTCCTCCTGATGCTAGCAGTAGTCCTAGGTTCATCTCCGGCCCCGGTTTGCCGTGCGAGCTTGTCACATTGCCCTGAGGCAAAGGAGGTGGACAAGCACGACTTTGTGGTGTGATGTGCGAAGGTTGGGCACCGGGCGGGATGGGCGGCGAAGAAAAGCGTTGGGAGTGTGTGTGTCCTGGGTGTTGGCAGCGACGAATGGCAAGGATGGCCGGTGCACCCCCGCAAGATGCACCCCCCCCCCCCGCCCCCAAGCTAGGAAGGATATCATTGGCTTGGAAAAGCAGGGTTTGGAAGCAACATTCAGCCACAGAGGTAGGGGAAATGGCATGTGCCCGTCGCAGCACTCCGGGCCATCTAGGGTCCTTGCTGGTCCCGTCGAAGGCGCGCTGCCCCTTCAGCCTGCCCTGCCGGAGCATGCCGAGCACCTGGAGGCGAGGAATGCGCCCCGTTTTCGTCAAGTCATTGCCGTATTGGCTGTGAGACAGTCACAGTCTTTTTGCGACTGCTGTCAGGCTTGTATAGTTCTTGTTGATCATGGTGATGATGATGACTATTTGATGGTCAAGCTGATGATAATGTCTGTGTTGTGTTGCTTGGGCTTCTTTTTCATCTTTGTTGAGGCAGAAAACCCCGGGGGCTACTAAACATAGTCATCTTTGTTCTGGGTCCAAGGCTGTTGCTGGCTATGAGCTATGGGTGTGAACTGCAGGAGTAGGTAGTGGGGGAGGAGAAGCCGTCTTCTCCTTGTCGTTGTCATGGTCGTCCTTGTGTTGGTCATTGTTGTTTTCAACGATGAATCCCTTTTCGGGCTTTCGTTTTGCGAGCACGCGCACGCTCCAGCTCGTCGCAGGTAAAAGCGGCCAAGCCGGCGCGCCTCCTCTTTCTACATGCCTCGCCCCTCTGCGTACTCACGCGTGGGCCGAATGGGCAGTCAAAGTACGCCCCCCTGCCGCGGCTGAAGATCGACCGCGAGGCAGAAAAGGGGAGTTCCTTCTTGACTTTTGTCGGTTTTGGAGCCTCAATGCGGAATCTCCAGTGCTTGCGAAAGTCAGACTGAGGGATTGACAGATTGATGGCTTCCATGTTTGCAATCATTGCTGAAACAGTAGTAGCAGGAGAAGAGTTGGCTTATAGCTAAGACGATGATACTACACAGCTGCTGTTGCAGGGACTGTAAGACTGATCGTAGATTTGTCATAAAAGCAGATCTTTTCCTGACATAGCAGCGACCTGGCAAGTCGTTCGGAGAAGTCATTCCCCCAATACGATACCATGTAGTGGCCAGTGGTATCTGGCAACCTTCTCAAACCAGCGGCACCGGCAATAGCTGTTAGCTAGCCTTTGCTGGAGACATGTTCAACAGTTAGCAATACTTCGTAATGCAGAGTCGAACAGTCCCAACAACCAAGACAACAGTTACTTGAAGGCCTGGAGGCAATGACATTTCCTTTAGAGTCAATGTTGTCAATGTTGGATTGTAGGTCATCGGCAGCTGCCATAGTTGTGCCAGTTGTGCCCTGAGTCTACCTCGAGTCTTAACATCACTCCCGGCAGGAATTTTTACTTTCCGGCTCCATGACTGCAGTGCAGGTTCACGCCGTACGCGAAGCATTGCAAGGAGCCGTCGACGTGAAGGTGAGGGAATCTTCGGATCGGCTTGCACGCTGGGGCTCTTCGTGTTCAGGTCCATAGTTCTAGATTCAGGATCACGCTAAGCTCCAACTCATACAGCCCACACCCTAAAGCCCATGTGTGCTATGATGTATCATTATACCAGATCGTCGACGCCCTAAACAAACACATGTCAGAAACACAGTTGAGCTACTCTTGACTTTTCTGCCTCCAGAACAGTGCGTTTAGCGCGGGGCCACTGATCATCTGAATGGAGGCTCCAGCGACTATGGGTATGTAACATAGTATATACATTTTTCATGCGTGCTGGCCTGGGCGCTCAGGCTTTAGGCTTTTTCTCTTCAGGGGTTCAGCGGGAACGCAGGTCAAGACCGCCTCCGTCCACAATCTCCGCAAGGCGGTCACAGAAGGACATTCTTCGGCAGGGAGGGATGATCCAGACGATGATGCATGCAGGGGCTTATGCCACGAAGACTTGAAGCATACATGGGCCCGATAGAGCTTCGGAATTGGGGGTTCCGTGTCCGGTGTGTTTCTCCCTGGAAAGGAAACCTTTGGCTCCACCTTTCTGCGCATACTGCCAACGAGAGCACCTTGGTGCTTGAGGCCGGCTGGGGTTTGTGTTGGGGCTGTACAGGTTCTTCAATGATTCAATAGGGGCCCCAATAAACTTTCTGTAAGGTTCTGGTATATTTGAAACTCTTCAATGATATAGGGGCCCAATAATTTATATAAGGTTCTATAGTATCTTTGAAACTTATGAAAATCAGGAACCAGCTGTAGGGGGGTTCTGGGGTTGGATGACGAGGGTGCTGAAAGATCTTGATTGGGGTTCCTCTTCGGTATCTACATGTTCGTTCTGACTTTGCAAAGCCGTTAAAGGAACCCTATTCTAATTATTAAGGCCCCTATTTGTAAACCGCAGGTTCCTGTCGAACTGCCGATCGGACACGCCTCTTCGCACTGTTGGGAATACTGTTCTGTAGCCCGGGGGTAGTGCAGGGCTTATATCTTCAACGAGGAGCTGGCTCTTCTAAAGGATCGCTGTCTCAACCGTTCGAGCTTTAAGGCTTCGGATGTTTCTCTTTGCAATTTTCGTATGTTGGCCATTGCTTCAGCAGCTTATGAGTGTTGGAGGCTTCTGATGTTCGCGGGGTGGAGTGGAGGGGGGCTGTGGTGGCTGGTTGGGGTTGTAGGATTTGTTTCTAACTGTTTTTTTTGGTTGGTTTTGGGGTTTAGTGTAGGTTTGATTTACACTTCCAGCGCAGCATGTTGCCCGCGTGCTTCACGAATTCATGCATCCAAGGCTTGCTGCAGCATTCTACTCCGCCGGCGTGCAGCACATCGTGTACCTCGGCCCGGGCATTCTACATACAGGTTCTATCTCCTGGGGTACCCTACTTTTCTAGCCCACGAAGCAATAAGGGTAGACGCGACCGTGGGCGCCAGAATCCTTGCAGACGCTCTCAAAGGTACACGAATCGAGCTGTCACCGACCACTGCGCCAGCCGCTTTGCCAAGAGCCCCTTGACTCTGATGCATGATGTAGATGATAAGCATCCGGAAATAAGTTGGGAGCAGCGCCCAAATCAGTAGCAGGGCTGTACATTGAGCTTTCCCTCGGGATTCACTAAATCCTCCTTTGCGTCTCACCGCGGAGACAAGTTGAGCTCCCGAGGAGGATGAGTGGCGAGCGAGAGAGAGAGAGAGAGAGAGAGAGAGAGAGAGAGAGAGAGAGAGGCTTAACACCTCCTCATGCCCGGCGGAAGAAGAGAGAGAGAGAGGGAAGAAGGGAACCACAAAGTAAGTTGAATGCCAGAGAGACCGAGACAGACCTGGACCTTGATCCATGAATCGACACCTATAGACTTTAGACCCAACTCCGCAGAGACCAAAGACCTAATTCAGCGTTAGGATCCCTGTCCGCGAGGTTTCTACCTTGCCATGGCATGACGGCGCTCTCTGCGAAATGCCTTCCGCATCGCGCTGTCGGAGGTGGCTGAGATGTCTGGTAAACCTACTCAGTGATCGATGGTTTGCAAAGTTCAGGGGTTCTAGTATGCTAGGGTATGGTTGAGGGCAGTTCTGCCCTTTTCGCACTAGCCAGACATACTACCTCGCAGCCCTGGCCCCACACAAAGCCTTGAGTGAGCCGTAAACCCCGATAACATATGCGCCTAATTCTAAATAGTTGTATTATAGTATACCCCAAGACCCTAATTCAAACTCCTAAGGCCCTATACATACTCTAAACCCTAAACCCTAATTCAATCTCTTAAGGCCCTACATAACACCAAACCCTAAACTCTAAACCCTAAACCCTATAGGTCACATTCCCAAGGCCCCACACAACCCTAAACCCTAAACTCTAAACTGACTCTAAACCTTAAACCCTAATTAAAATTCCCAAGGCTCCACATTCTGCCCCCAACCGCCCAGGTCGAAGCCGACCTCGAGGGAGGCGACTCTGGATTTCGCCTCTTCTCGAACACCAATGTCCTGCTGCAGGCGGGATGTTTTAGGGGGTTATAGGGTTTAGGGTTGAGGGGGGGGGGTGGGCGATTTCTAGGGGGTTATAGGGTCACGAAGCGTTGATGTTGAAAGAGAGGCCGGGGAAGGGGAAAGCCGGCAAGCCCAAGCCTTCAGCTCTCGAGGCTGCAGCACGGCAACGAGCGTCCGCGATGCAGCTTCACGGTGGCAGCGAGCCACCGTGCTGCTTGAGACAACGAAGGCCACCCTGGGGCCCCGAAGCTGAAACTTCGGTGCTGAAGCTCCCCGTCTCTGCGATTGATGGAGACTTGAGGTCTCCCGACGTGATCATGTGCGGCGCAGACATGGACGCCTGTCAAGAAGGCAGGCAACGCCAGCGAGCCATCTGCTCGCTCAAGGACTGCATGAACCGTGAGTGTGCAGAAAACAGCCGTTGCCGGGCTGCCTGGTTCCCATAAACTTCGCTGTAGTAGGTTCGCTCTTCGTGTGTGTGTGTGTGTGTGTCGGCGTGTGTCTCTCTCTCTCTCTCTGTGTGTGTATGTGATCTGCTCGCCGAACGGTTGCGGCGTCGGTACAGCTCTTCTTTGGGAGGATCTGTGCTGCAGTTGTGGACGGACGCGGTAACGTTCAACGCCGCCATGTGTGACCCATCATCAGGCTGGATGTGTTGTGGTGTCACATCGGGTAGGATTTTCCAACTTGGTAGATTTGAATGCAGAGTTCGCAGATAGAGCAGCGAGAAGCGACGCACCTCCAAGACTCCTGCAGCTCTGGCTCTACTGCTCTGAGGCCAGTGGCAAAACGTCATGCGCCTCTTCGGGAGGGTGCCACTTCACTGCATTGCTTGCGGCAGGTTTGACAGCTCTTGGCTTGGTGTTTCTAGGACCCGCGACCCATCAGTTGTCAGGAGTGGCGCTTTTCCCTGCAGTGCTAAAAAACTAGCTCGGACAAAGCTCTGGAGTCTCGGTAACGCAGATCGGGGTTCCCTTTTGCTGATGGTCGGGGTGTGAAATGTGAAACAGAGACCTTAAAGAATTTCGGAGTTTCGGGTTCAGAGCATGCAGTCCAATCAGTTTAGATTGCGCCTACAGGGCTGATGGGTTCTGGTTTTGGCGTGAGTGAACACGAGCTCCTTCCCTTTAAGCTCAAGACCATGTGCGATCTCAGGTTGGCCAATGGCATCGCGGTGCAGTCGCTGCAGCCTGCGAGCGAGCGAGGTGAGCGTAGGCCTGCCAGCGAGAGCCAGAATGGAAAAGCGGAAGGTGACTGCAGCGCAGAATCCTGCTCGTTGATCGCTATTGATATTGGAAGGGAAGTGCAAACAAAGGAAGACTCGAGAAGTAGAGGATGCCGTGCACATTGGAAATCCACGGGGACACTACGTGCAGGTCACACGCTGCCAAGTTCAGGGCGCATGACTATGACCTTTGAGCCAGAATTTGGGGTGGTGGGGGTTGCCCGGTCGATTCGATACCAATGCATAGATGTATGCATAGGTCAATTGGTGAATGCATCCATGCATGGTTGGATGAAGTATGTCTGTATATTGAACATATCACGTCACGTAGAAAGACAGACTTTGCCACATCCGTTTGGCTCAAGCTACTTGCAGCAGAAAGGCACGTGATCATTCATGATCAGGGTTCGGACAGCATTCACGATTGCCCACACGGCTTGGTCACCAGCGCCACAGTGAGACTTACAGTCTTCCCATGCGCTGCATTCAGCGAGCGCAGTTGTATGGATCGAAGCATATGAGATCTGACAGTATTTCAACGTAACCTGCTGAATCATGTCGGTGCTGCTCTTCAACGTCTTCGTGGAGGCTTTGCAGATCGCCGCCAAGGAGGACAGGGTACAGACGCACTTGACACTTCCAGACGGAACCTCCTGTCGTTGCTTAGGCTTAGGCCATTGCGCAGCGGCGCCTCTTCGAAAGAGAGCTCGCCGCAGAGCTGGCCAAATGGAGTTGCTGCTGCTGTCGCTGCTGTCCCGCAGCGGCCTTGGTGGGTCGCGTTTGGACTTGCTCCCTGCAGTTCCGCACTCTGTTCCCCCCGTGCCCTCACGCTTCGAAGCTCTTCGGGTGTTAGGGGTCCGCTTTTTGTGACGTTATTCATTCCGTTTTTATTCCTCCTGGTGCTACCAGTAGTCCTAGGTTCATCTCCGGCCCCGGTTTGCCGTGCGAGCTTGTCACATTGCCCTGAGGCAAAGGAGGTGGACAAGCACGACTTTGTGGTGTGATGTGCGAAGGTTGGGCACCGGGCGGGATGGGCGGCGAAGAAAAGCGTTGGGAGTGGTGTGTGTCCTGGGAATGGCAAGGATGGCCGGTGCACCCCCGCAAGATGCACCCCCCCCCACCCCCAAGCTAGGAAGGATATCATTGGCTTGGAAAAGCAGGGTTTGGAAGCAACATTCAGCCACAGAGGTAGGGGAAATGGCATGTGCCCGTCGCAGCACTCCGGGCCATCTCGGGTCCTTGCTGGTCCCGTCGAAGGCGCGCTGCCCCTTCAGCCTGTCCTGCCGGAGCATGCCGAGCACCTGGAGGCGAGGAATGCGCCCCGTTTTCGTCAAGTCATTGCCGTATTGGCTGTGAGACGGTTACAGTCTTTTTGCGATTGTTGTCAGGCTTGTATAGTTCTTGTTGATCATGGTGATGACTATTTGATGGTCAAGCTGATGATAATGTCTGTGTTGTGTTGCTTGGGCTTCTTTTTCATCTTTGTTGAGGCAGAAAACCCCGGGGGCTACTAAACATAGTCATCTTTGTTCTGGGTCCAAGGCTGTTGCTGGCTATGAGCTAAGGGTGTGAACTGCAGGAGTAGGAAGTGGGGGAGGAGAAGCCGTCTTCTCCTTGTCGTTGTCATGGTCGTCCTTGTGTTGGTCATTGTTGTTTTCAACGATGAATCCCTTTTCGGGCTTTCGTTTTGCGAGCACGCGCACGCTCCAGCTCGTCGCAGGTAAAAGCGGCCAAGCCGGCGCGCCTCCTCTTTCTACATGCCTCGCCCCTCTGCGTACTCACGCGTGGGCCGAATGGGCAGTCAAAGTACGCCCCCCTGCCGCGGCTGAAGATCGACCGCGAGGCAGAAAAGGGGAGTTCCTTCTTGACTTTTGTCGGTTTTGGAGCCTCAATGCGGAATCTCCAGTGCTTGCGAAAGTCAGACTGAGGGATTGACAGATTGATGGCTTCCATGTTTGCAATCATTGCTGAAACAGTAGTAGCAGGAGAAGAGTTGGCTTATAGCTAAGACGATGATACTACACAGCTGCTGTTGCAGGGACTGTAAGACTGATCGTAGATTTGTCATAAAAGCTGTGATCTTTTCCTGACATAGCAGCGACCTGGCAAGTCGTTCGGAGAAGTCATTCCCCCAATACGATACCATGTAGTGGCCAGTGGTATCTGGCAACCTTCTCAAACCAGCGGCACCGGCAATAGCTGTTAGCTAGCCTTTGCTGGAGACATGTTCAACAGTTAGCAATACTTCGTAATGCAGAGTCGAACAGTCCCAACAACCAAGACAACAGTTACTTCTAGGCCTGGAGGCAATGACATTTCCTTTAGAGTCAATGTTGTCAATGTTGGATTGTAGGTCATCGGCAGCTGCCATAGTTGTGCCCTGAGTTTACCTCGAGTCTTAACATCACTCCCGGCAGGATTTTTTACTTTCCGGCTCCATGACTGCAGTGCAGGTTCACGCCGTACGCGAAGCATTGCAAGGAGCCGTCGACGTGAAGGTGAGGGAATCTTCGGATCGGCTTGCACGCTGGGGCTCTTCGTGTTCAGGTCCATAGTTCTAGATTCAGGATCACGCTAAGCTCCAACTCACACAGCCCACACCCTAAAGCCCATGTGTGCTATGGTGTATACTTATACCAGATCGTCGATCACCTAAGCAAACATATGTCAGAAACACAGTTGAGCTACTCTTGACTTTTCTGCCTCCAGAACATTGCGTTTAGTGCGGGGCCACTGATCATCTGAATGGAGGCTCCAGCGACTATGGGTATGTAACATAGTATATACATGTTTCATGCGTGCTGGCCTGGGCGCTCAGGCTTTAGGCTTTTTCTCTTCAGGGGTTGAGCGGGAACGCAGGTGAAGACCGCCTCCGTCCACAATCTCCGCAAGGCGGTCACAGAAGGACATTCTTCGGCAGGGAGGGATGATCCAGACGATGATGCATGCAGGGGCTTATGCCACGAAGACTTGAAGCATACATGGGCCCGATAGAGCTTCGGAATTGGGGGTTCCGTGTCCGGTGTGTTTCTCCCTGGAAAGGAAACCTTTGGCTCCACCTTTCTGCGCATACTGCCAACGAGAGCACCTTGGTGCTTGAGGCCGGCTGGGGTTTGTGTTGGGGCTGTACAGGTTCTTCAATGATACAGTAGGGGCCCCAATAAACTTTCTGTAAGGTTCTGGTATATTTGAAACTCTTCAATGATATAGGGGCCCAATAATTTATATAAGGTTCTATAGTATCTTTGAAACTTATGAAAATCAGGAACCAGCTGTAGGGGGGTTCTGGGGTTGGATGACGAGGGTGCTGAAAGATCTTGATTGGGGTTCCTCTTCGGTATCTACATGTTCGTTCTGACTTTGCAAAGGACCTGCAACTGCCACATCTGCCAGGAGGAGGTGAAGGTGATAATTTGTAATCGCCACAAACAGGCGCAAAATGATCCATAGCCTCAGCCTTAGAAAGCCTTAGAACCTTTATAGGGGCTCTAAATGAACCCGGACCCTGCACCCCCCCGAAGCTCAAACCAAACCCCGAACCCTAGAACCTCCACCCTTAAATCCAAAGTAAACTCCAACACACATGCAAGAAAGCCTTGCCCCAAAGCGCTCTACTGAAGGACGTAGACGGCAGAGGATTGAAACAGAGTTTAGATCTCGGATCTCTGGGGCTCAGGGCTTCGTTCGGGTTTCCGCGGATTCGCTGCAATCCAGCAGTCTAAGGTCCTCAACCCGCCGCTCCATCTGAGAGTTTCAGAAGAAGATAATGTGGGTGGGATCCTTAGCATAAGGACCCCTAGAAAGCGCTGAATCCAAACGCTAGTAAGCCCAGGAAAACGCGTTTGGAAGTGTAGTTCAAAGCTTTCGCAACTCCTCTGAAGGATGGTTTCGGAGGCACCGAGGTGCACTGACGACGGGGGTCTGGGGGTGAGGCTTGAGAGATTTATGGGCCAGCTTGGCGGGGGAAAGGATTTTGGGGGTCTTTGGCCTACAGGTTCAAGGAAATTTTGGGTTTGGGATGTAGGGCTCATCACTTGGATTCTACGGCTGTGCCCCGAGACTGCTCTTAGCATTCCTGCGGATCTTCTGCTGTACTCATGCCAGAGGTGGTTTGCACATTGAAGTAGATTCAAAAAAGGAGGGTATCAGGGTGTTCAGGGTTGTAGGGGCAAGGACAGGCTGACCCCGGAGCTCACCATCTTGTATCCCCCCTACACTTTTTTCTCAGCCAGCCTATTCAATAGAAACAAATAAAAACCCACTCTGCTAAAGCGCCAAAACACAAAGCACCTCCGCCGAAAGCCCAATCCTAAGTGCAATTCAAGACAGGGCACCTCCCGACCCAACACCAGCCTCAAAGCACAACACAGAACCCGCAGCTGCCCTACCTCACATCCTATACCCCGCTCGCATTTCACTCATGCAGTTCTCAACCAGCCTAACAAAGCAACCCCTACATAGCTACAAAGCACAAAGCACCCTGATCCCCACATCCGGGTTGTGCCTCACGGGAAACCTGAACTGTACATGCCCAGAACCCGCAGGCCTAGTTAGCCACAACATCGGGGGAAAGCCTGCGCCCCAAACCCTGGGCCCTAGATTCTTCAAGCCAGAACCCAATCCACTCTTAGAGCCCCGAATCCGACTCAGGCTTCGTTTAGAAGGCCAGACACCTTAGACGCCAGACAGGCTCTCACCCTGCATGCTTTGGGGGTCTGCTGCTCCGGAGTGGGGGCAAAGATGCGCGCCGGCTGCCTTCTTCGTGTGCTTCGGCTTTGATGTTGGGATTCCATGTTCAAAGGTTGAGGGCTTCGGGCCTTAGGGTTCAGGGCTTAAGTTTGTATAATGGATAGAGAAGCTTTTCGAACGTGCGTGCGTCTCAGAGATGGTAACGGCGCTGCGGGTGTTGCGGGTCTCATGAAGTTTGCGTAGGGTTTTGCATCTCACTGCAGCGATCCCTGGCCTTCCGATTCTAAGCCGTAACCCAGCCTGCAATCTCGTAAGACAGTTGCTGAAGCCAGTGTTTTGTAAAGACAACTATATGAATATGTATAATTACCAAGTATGTATGTAACTAACCACTTCGTATGCACATATGTATATATATATATATATAATACATATACATACACCTGGAGCGAGAAAGAGCGGAAGAGGAAGAGAGAGAGAGAGAGAGAGAGACAGAGAGAGAGAGACGGAGGGATATTGGAGCACCCATTATGCAATTCCGACTCAGTCCTGAGAGTCCGCTGCGGCGAAGCATAATACAGACCTAAAGCCTCCCACCTCTGAGCGCTAAATCTAAGAAAAAATGCAATTTAGCAGATCCAGCCTACCGTCTCGAACCGTATAACATATTATAGTGCATATAATGTGTCAATGACTACACGTGTGTGCATTCGTGGAAAGTTGTATGTGTTGCACATACAGTTCAGCTTTGTTTGCAACCGGTAGCAGCACGTTGGTGTTAATGTAATGTTTTTTGTCTTTGCAGGGCGTTTCTTGGGGTTACCTCTCCAGTGGGATGCTGCTGCTCTAAGGCCTAAACCTAATAGTATTCATAATTGCGTCTAGGGCAAGATGGGCGGAGGGCAAGAAGGAGTTCAGCAAAACCTAGTAGCAACCCAAGACCAGTAGCAGGTTATAACAGTTACTGTACTTCAGTTCGCTACTCCCTAATATAAAGGGGCCGAAATAGTAACCAATACCATTTTGTTTTGGGGGGGGGGGGGTCCTTATTACAATTATGGTATAATATGCCCCAAAAGCCTATTCCAATTGTTAAGGCCCCTGTATTATAATAGAACTCTTATTATGGATCCCTGATAGGCCTTTATAGCCCTTATAGACCCCTTTAAAGGAACCCTATTCTAATTCTTAAGGCCCCTGTTTGCAAACCGCAGGTTCCTGTCGAACTGCCGATCGGACACGCCTCGGACACGCCTCTTCGCACTGTTGGGCACTCTGTTCTGTAGCCCGGGGGTAGTGCAGGGCTTATATCTTCAACGAGGAGCTGGCTCTTCTAAAGGATCGCTGTCTCAACCGTTCGAGCTTTAAGGCTTCGGATGTTTCTCTTTGCAATTTTCGTATGTTGGCCATCGCTTCAGCAGCTTATGAGTGTTGGAGGCTTCTGATGTTCGCGGGGTGGAGTGGAGGGGGGCTGTGGTGGCTGGTTGGGGTTGTAGGATTTGTTTCTAACTGTTTTTTTGGGTTGGTTTTGGGGTTTAGGGTAGGTTTGATTTACACTTCCAGCGCAGCATTTTGCCCGCGTGCTTCACGAATTCATGCATCCAAGGCTTGCTGCAGCATTCTACTCCGCCGGCGTGCAGCACATCGTGTACCTCGGCCCGGGCATTCTACATACAGGTTCTATCTCTTGGGGTACCCTACTTTTCTAGCCCACGAAGCAATAAAGGTAGACGCGACAGTGGGCGCTAGACCCCTTGTAAACCGTACAGACGCTCTCAAAGGTACACGAATCGAGCTGTCACCGATCACTGCGCCAGCCGCCTTGCCAAGCGCCCCTTGACTCTGATGCATGCAGCGCCCAAATCAGTTGCAGGGCTGTACATTGAGCTTTCCCTCGGGATTCCCTAAATCCTCGCTTGCGTCTCACCGCGGAGACAAGTTGAGCTCCCGAGGAGGATGAGTGGAGAGAGAGAGAGAGAGAGAGAGAGAGAGAGAGAGAGAGAGAGAGAAAGAGAGGGAAGAAGGGAACCACAAAGTAAGTTGAATGTGGAACTTAATCCATGAATCGACACCTATAGACTTTAGACCCAACTCCGCAGAGACCAAAGACCTAATTCAGCGTTAGGATCCCTATCCGCGAGGTTTCTACCTTGCCATGGCATGCCGGCGCTTTCTGCGAAATGCCTTCCGCATCGCGCTGTCGGAGGCGGCTGAGATGTCTGGTAAACCTACTCAGTGATCGATGGTTTGCAAAGTTAAGGGGTTCTAGTATGCTCGGGTATGGTTTCGGCAGCATGAGGGCAGTTCTGCCCTTTTCGCACTAGCCAGACATACCACCTCGCAGCCCTGGCCCCACACAAAGCCTTGAGTAAGCCGTAAACCCCGATAACAAAAGCGCCTAATTCTAAATAGTTATATTTTATAGTATACCCCAAGACCCTAATTCAAACTCCTAAGGCCCTATACATAACCCCAAACCCTAAACTCTAAACCCTAATTCAATCTCTTAAGGTCTGCCGCATGCGCCCAGATCGATCGGGCAATTTCCAAGTCGGTGTCTGGACTGCATGGTATCGTAGTACCTGGAAGGTAAGATACAGTCAGCATACTACAACGTCAGCCTGCAGTGCAAATAGTATGCTATAAATGGGCTACACGGCCAGGTGAGATGTGCATCTGATGACTCTGCCCGAGTCGATGATGTCCTGGACCTACATGATGTTAGGGTGGTAACGGGCTGGAGCAATGTGCATAACACGTCGCAGCACTCCGGGCCATCTAGGGCTAGGGTCCTTGCTGGTCCCATCGAAGGCGCGCTGCCCCATCAGCCTGTGCTGCCGGAGCATGCCGAGCACCTGGAGGCGAGGAATGCCACCGTTTTCGTCAAGTCATTGCCGTATTGGCTGTGAGACAGTTACAGTCTTTTTGCGACTGCTGTCAGGCTGGTATAGTTCTTGTTGATCTTGGTCATGATGATGATTATTTGATGGTCAAGCTGATGCCAATGTCTGTGTTGCGTTGCTTGTAGCTGGGTGTTAATGGGGCTTCTTTTTCATCTTTGTTGAGGCAGAAAAACCCGGGGGCTACTAAACATAGTCATCTTTGTTCTGGGTCCAAGGCTGTTGCTGGCTATGAGCTATGGGTGTGAACTGCAGGAGTAGGAAGTGGGGGAGGGGAAGCCGTCTTCTCCTTGTCGTTGTCATGGTCGTCCTTGTGTTGGTCATTGTTGTTTTCAACGATGAATCCCTTTTCGGGCTTTCGTTTTGCGAGCACGCGTGCCCTCCAGCTTTTCGCAGGTAAAAGCGGTCAAGCCGGCGCGCCTCCTCTTTCTACATGTCTCGCCCCTCTGCGTACTCACGCGTGGGCCGAATGGGCAGTCGAAGTGCGCCCCCCTGCCGCGGCTGAAGATCGACCGCGAGGCAGAAAAGGGGAGTTCCTTCTTGACTTTTGTCGGTTTTGGAGCCTCAATGCGGAATCTCCAGTGCTTGCGAAAGTCAGACTGAGGGATTGACAGATTGATGGCTTCCATGTTTGCAATCATTGCTGAAACAGCAGTAGCAGGAGAAGAGTTGGCTTATAGCTAACACGATGATACTACACAGCTGCTGTCGCAGGGACTGTAAGACTGATCGTAGATTTGTCATAAAAGCTGTGACCTTTTACTGACATAGCAGCGACCTGGCAAGTCGTTCGGAGAAGTCATTCCCCCAATACGATACCATGTAGTGGCCAGTGGTATCTGGCAACCTTCTCAAACCAGCGGCACCGGCAATAGCTGTTAGCTAGCCTTTGCTGGAGACATGTTCATCAGATAGCAATACTTCGTAATGCAGAGTCGAACAGTCCCAACAACCAAGACAACAGTTACTTCTAGGCCTGGAGGCAATGACATCTCCTTTAGAGTCAATGTTGTCAATGTTGGATTGTAGGTCATCGGCAGCTGCCATAGTTGTGCCCTGAGTCTACCTCGAGTCTTAACATCACTCCCGGCAGGATTTTTACTTTCCGGCTCCAAGATTGCAGTGCCGCCGTATGCGAAGGATTGCAAGGAGCCATCGACGTGAAGGTGAGGGAATCTTCGGATCGGCTTGCACACTGGGGCTCTTCGTGTTCAGGTCCATAGTTCTAGATTCAGGATCATGCTAAGCTCCAACTCATACAGCCCACACTCTAAAGCCCATGTGTGCTATGATGTATGCTTACCAGATCGTCGATCGCCTAAGCAAACATATGAGCTGCGGTTTTTTTCTGCGGAAGATCTATCGCTACTTAACATGGAAATAATTCCTCTTGGATATCCTGAAATGGGCTTGGGACTGTGGGCGCGGAAGGATGCGGAAGGGTTTGCGGAAGCGATGTGGCTGCGGAAGGTCCCGCGGAAGGTCTGAAGATGAACAGGCTGTAGAGCAGCATAAGCTAAACTTGCAAAATACGGTATCTACTACGTTAACACACAGACATGATCGGAAGCCTAAAGGACTATACAGATGACTACACTCCATGTCCGAAACTTCGAAGTCTGTAAGCTTTGCTTGTTGGGGGATCTTTGTTTACACTATGTCCCAAGCTTCGCAGTCTGTAATAAGCTTCGCTTATTGGGGGGATCTTTGTCAACACTATGTCCGAAACTTCGCAGTCGAGCTGTAAGCTTTGCTTATTGGGGGATCTTTGTGCTCCTACTCCTAGCGCGGCCACCAACATTGCCACTATGGCTGCACCGTCACCACGGCCACTGCCAGTACGAAGACTGCCAGTTCCGAAGCGTTGTCGTTGGAGGCAAAAAATGTGGGTGGGTACTGACAATTCGCGGAAGGTGCGCGGAAGGGGAACCCTGCCAAGTCGAGCCCATAGCTTTTCGTAAGTATCGCTGCAGTCATCCATAGCAGTGGTTGAATTAATCCTTTCTGCTTACAGAGCCGCGCGGAAGCACCCTTGCACACGGCGGAAAGGATGCAAAAGGGCTTCACTGAAGGGGGATTACTTTCCTTTAGCTTTTGGTTGGCAAGTTTGGGGAGATGCTGTTGCGCAATTTTGCGGCTCAGTGTTGACTGAAATCGCCTGATATTGCAAGCCCAAGCCCCAACCAGATTCCTGTTGGTTGCCATTAAGTGGACATGCTAAGGCGCTTCCTTTCACAACTCTGGTGGCTGGCCATGGAGAGCAATGCTGTTTCGGCGGCTAAAATTGATCGGATGTCAGGATTGCACTGAGAGTACCGATAAGGTGGCGGTGTCATGCTGGTGCCATCTTCGTTTTCGCAGTGTCTAAAAGGTCTAGCAGGGTCCGCCGCATGCATTCTCGTTGTACTTCTCCTATAGACTTTGAAACACCATCAGCCCTAAGCTGAAGCCAAACGTTGTGTGCAGGAGAAGTCGAGCGATATAGGTTAACTGATACATCACATCGCTACCAGTACAGTCCCGACACACAGCCGCCCACCAGAACTGGTTGCGCAGTCACTGCAGCCAGAGTTTAAACTTCCTGCAGCTGGGATCACGGGCGGGATATTCTTTCTGCATGCCGCAGCACTGTCTTGAGTCGGACACGTGGCACCACAGCTTGCGCACGAGCGTACACACACATGCACACACACACACACACATGCAAGATTATCTGAGATCTCAGCTCTAAGGTCTTGGGTTGAGGGCTTTCGGGTTCTGGGCCGTCGCATTCGCGCTTGGGAGTTTTTCCTGAGGGCCCAGTGCTGCTTCTGAAGGAAAGGAGGCTTTAGGGTTTTCAGGGTTCGGGTCTCTCCCAGCTGCAGCCATGGGGTGCTGCGAAGGTGTGCCCTTGGAGGCGCTATACTTCCACCGATGCCTTGCAAGAGAACAGAACTGACTGCATTGGGTTGTTGGTCGTACCTATCACGGAATTCAGATGGGTGTTGGCCAGCTGGCAAGGTCAGCCATTTCTTGCAAACTTCAGCAGTAACACCGAAGTCGGATGGGTATTTCATGCAGTTTCCACGTGCTTCGGCGTTGCATATCCGGTCAACTGTAGCTGTAGCTTGTGCATGGACACTCAATTGATTTCCGGCGCTGGTATGGTGCTACGGTTCCCGGCCCGTGTCATGCCTCTACTGCACGGTTCATGCATGCATGAAGGCGTCATCAGAGGTGTCCTTCGCCGCGGAGCCGTCAAGCGCTCAGAGCGGGAGCTTTGACATTTGAGGGCACCAAGGTTCATATCTTTCTGGTTGGGAACGTCGTCTGCACCTCCACAAGGTTGATTGGGAGTGCGTTGCCCTGCAACAAAGCCAATTTTTTGGGGTTCCTTAAACTTACTATGGTTACAGCATAATGAACCCAAATCCCCATTCTAGCTATTGAAGGCCGCGATTCCCTATGATTCCAGGAACACTGAGAACGCATCCCGATTCCGTCCTCCAAGGCTCGCGCCTGAGCTGGCGTCCACCTGGTCCCCGGAAGCTGGAGACTTGAATGGGGAGGCGGAAAAGGGACTATACTTCTTTCAATAAGCCGAACTAAGTCCTTATTTTAGGTATTAAGCTTGAAGGGTTTAGGGACTTGAGAGTTTTGGGAGTTTAGAGCGGGGCTGAGGGAGTTTGGGGTTTAGGGTTTTAGATGTTATGGTGTATATGGCCTTGCACCACGGGTGAGGATGCAGGAGAGGGATTCTCAGAAAGGTTCCCAACAATTGCCATTTCCCAGTGTTTTCGACTACGTTTCTAGTTACCCGTCCTCCCCCCGTACCACTCAACCCCGCGTTCGTCGTTTCGTCTCTACAGTGCTCTCCTATTTTTGCTGGACACTCCCAGGGTTCCTGGACTTCGGAACCTCACCGGAGGGTTTCAACTCGGGTGAGAAGATCCAGCATCCTCTCACACGAACACTGGATGGTTCAGAGTTGAAGGGTTTAGATTTGCCTCAACCATCCCTCTATACAACAAACATGTAACTGTCAGGTCGACCTCGGCACCGTGGATCGGTGCGACAGGATCCGCAGCTGGGTCTTCGGCTCAGTGTTTCTGGGGTTTAGGGTTTTTGGCCGTTGCCTTCACTATGGTTGGGCTGACAAGCGCACACGGTGAAGGCAAGCGGCCAACACACGGTGAAGGCAATTGGCCGTTTCCTTCGCCACGGTTACGGTGCCAAAACACGATGAAGGGTGAAGCTTTTGGTGTCAAATACGCAAGGAAGGCAAGCGGGCGTTGCATTCACCATGGCTCCGGTGCCAAAAGCACACGGTAAAGGCAAACGGCCGTTGCCTTGGCGATGGTCTTGGTGCCACAAGCAGACAAGCGCTCGTTGCCTTCACCATGATATTAGTTTTCGTGCTAAAGAACACACGCTGTAAGCAAACGGAAGTTGCGTTTATCATGATTCTGATGGAAAACCATACAGTCAAGGCAAGCGGCCGTTTGCCTTCAGCAGGTTATTTTTGGCAACGGTTTTGTTTTGGAAGGGTTTCTGGTATTGTAGGACCTGGCATGGCAGCTAGGCAATAGGTTCGCTGGCTCCTGTCCCAGCCGGTTTGTTTCTTGCGTTGTTGTTCAGGCCGGGGTACTGTTTAGGGTGGAGATGGAATGGGGTCTCGAGTCCCTGAGGTTTCCCTCCATGATTGGCAAGATGGGTTGGAGTCGGAGTAGTAGCAGCAGTAGAGTAGCAGCAGTAGCAGTAGCAGTAGCAGTAGTAGTAGTAGTAGTAGTAGTAGTAGTAGCAGCACTAGCAATAGCAGCAGCAGCAGTAGCAGTAGTAGCAGAAAGCCCCAGGCTTCCCAGCCAGAACGTCGGCCGTCTGGAATGGCCCGGGCCATGGTCCACGCCAGTAGGGTTCAACAGGATGCCATCGTTGTTCGTTTCGGGTGCTGTTAGCTTGGTTTTGGACGGGTTTGTAACGTGATAAACAAATGGGTCTCTTAACTTACCATCATTTAGAGGTTTGCCTTTCGAAGCTATGTCTCCCAGAAGTGGAAAGTATGGAGAATGAGATCTGCGCCTGTCCCCTTCGCTTGCAGACCCACGTGAAGCCAAGCAGCCTGTCGCAGGGTTTCTTTTAAGGTATCCTGCTACCCAACCCCTAATTTGGGACCCTGAGGACCGCTTGGCCAGGACGCTGTTGGAGGACCCGAAATCCTCAAATGAAGGGTTTGAGGAAGTTGTAGTAGGGACCATCATCTCTGATGATTGGCGGGTTTCGGTTTCCGGTATCACATGCGCAGCCCCGAAAGAGTTTCGATATCCACTGTCATTGCCCTGCCGTCTAAGTCCGCCAAGAATGGTTTCAATTTCATTTAATTTCATTCATCGCTCGGTTTCTTGCAAACCAGGGTCTTGTTCATCTCTCTGCTACCCTCAGTGTCATCATCATACTTGACTTGGTTTAGGCGTCATTCGTTTCCTTTCCGTCACGGACCTACGTCAGCACCTTGGCTTCGTATGATCGCCACCCCGAGTCGCCCCTAGTGCCACCGCTTGAACAGCAGTCGCCAGAAGCTTGCTGATAAGTACATGTCTGCAGGTCACAGCTCGACGCCATGCTAAGAAGTTACGTTTCTGGCAGTGCAGATCAGAGTAGCACTGCCTGCTAAAGGATAAGCATCGGATTGCAACATGCAGCCGTCATAGGCCCAGGTGGTGGGATTGTGTCTCAGGGTTTAGGGTTTGCGGAATGTTCGAGTTGACTCGCCGTCGTCAGGCCCGAGGTGTAAGCTGTTGGTTCGTCAAAGCAATAGTCTTGAAACCGTAAAACCCTATAAGCCCTAAACCCTCCCTTAACCTCGCCTAATTCATCTCTATATCCTAAACCCCTACACCCTAAATCCTAAACCCTGTATCCCTAAACCCTTAAAGCCTGAAATGGGAAGCTCCCAAGTTTCCAGGAGCGCCACTGCCTACCTGGGATGTGACCGGGCACGATAACCGTCGAGGTTAGGGTTTACTGTCAAGGCTTAGGCTTTGAGGGTCTAGGGTTCAAGGCGGTAAACCTGGGGTTAGACGGATGTGGAGCTTTGGAATCTGCGGGTGCTGTAATTAAGATTAGGCACAGGGTTTCGGAGCTGGAACTTTTGAACCCCATATAGAAGCATGAACACCTTCCAATGTTACCAATGATTACTATTCTGCCTTAGGGTTGCTTTTGGAAAGTACAAGACGTTTCACAGCTACACACGTGCCGAAAACCCACCTGTAAACCTGGGTTTGAGCCAAGAACTGGCCTTGAGCCAGGGGTATAGAATTTATTCTGGAAGTGCAGATCGCAGCCCGTAGGCTGTAAGCCTTGGGGTGACCCATCGGCTTCTAAGCTGACTAGTGCCAGAACCATTCCAATTCTTGGGCGCGCGGAGTGCATTTTGCCGTGTATGTCTGTGTAGCAACAGTCACATTGTCAGCTACTTGAGGACTGTTAAGGCCGAAACGATTCTGTAGTAGCTAGTAGACAGCAACAACAGGTACTACTACCATTATTATTATTATTACTACTACTACTACTTCTTCTTCCTCTACTTCTACCACCAATACTACTACTACTACTACTACGACGACGACTACGTCTACGACTACTTCGTATGAAGTACCACGTTGTGAAGGAGCACAGCGTGGGAGAGTTACCGAAGCAATCGTGCGACGCCTTGTTCCAGTGCTCGACCGCAGAAGTCCAACGGCCGTGACAGGCCAAGCGTCCAGCGCAGGAGCGTGCTGCGCACCGCGAATATATCGCAGGCTACACGGAGCAACCTACGAAGTACTGCCGTGTTCACTTGAGCCAAAATTGATATATGGAACACGAATTAATACTACACATGCATAAAAGCACAAGTCTCACTGACCCAGCCCACAGACTATGCACAGTTACATTCGCCCCTCAGCCAAGAGCACGAGTGTGTCGTTGGTTTAGCGGGCGGCCGGAGGCTTTACAACAAAACCCTACAGACGACCGATGGGATGAAATGTCGAAAGTCTGAGCACCTTCCTGGCCACGCCCAGTCTCTTCAAAGTATTTAGCGGTCCACGAGCTGCGCGCACCGCCAGAGGTGGCACGGGGCTCGGGTTCTCGACTCCGACTACGCGACATCTCCTGGCGGATTGGCCCCACACCGGCACCGATGTCCTCGTCAAACAAGTTTGGAGCCGGAGGTGTGTCCTCGTCCAGGTCACGCCGTCTAAAGCGTGACGGAGACACCAACCCACAATTCTCCCACACAACCAGTCGTGCGAAGAGTGCACGGAGCCAGCTGAGCTTGGTGGCAAGCTTCGGGCCTCGAGATAGTTCTCGGCCTTCTCGCGCAGCGAGAGGGACCCTGCCTGAGGCGTCCGTGCTGCCAGCCTCTGAGTAGGCGTCAGCAAGCAGCACCCTTGTAGCGATAGTAGATCGCCACAGGGTCGGCACCTGGCATCTGAACCAGTTTGCTTATGCCGGCGCCGATCGCCCTAAGCACGTGGTCCGGTCCATCGGGGCGCACTGCCTCTGGAGTGGACTTGCACAGCGCCGTAAAACGGGAAAACACTGTCTGAAATTGGGCCTCCCCCAGGCAACTTTCGGCGCGTGAAATAGCTTCGTCATTGCAGTCCAGACGTGCCATCTCCACGCCTTGCTGAAGCCGCACCTCGTACTCCTCGAGACTCTCGGTCTCGGGGTCGAGGGGGCTGAGGAACGAGCCTTCGAACTCGGCTTAAGTGGCTCCCTCTCTGGGGTCTTCAGCCGGTGCATTAACAAGCATGCTGCACAACTAAGTTGTCAGCAACATCCAAAAGTCGTCTTGTGGTATAAAATACACCCACCCTGGCTTTCCTAGAGATTATTCTCCCAGACTTGGTGCAGAAGCCTGCAACGTGACGAATAGCAGCAACCCGCTTCACTCTCTGTATAGTCGAAGGCCTATTGCAGTTCTGAACGCTTCTAGATAGAAGACAAACGCCGCAGAGTAAACAATAACCCAAACCAGATAAAAAGTCCCTCAGCCCTAAACCCTAAACCCTTATAGTACCCTCATAAAGGAGCCCCAAGCCCCACCGTCTATCAACGCACTCGAGGTGCGAGAAGGTGAAGTTGACCCACGAGGATTCAGCGGCAGTGGCGGGGAAGAGTTAAGAGTTCAGGGTTCAGGGTACCTACTGTCCTCCCTTGAGCGGTCACCTGAAGTTACTACGATGCTCCTACCATTAGAGCGCGGTTGCTGTTCAAGACACGTGTCAGTGGAAGCTTGATGTTTGGGATATATCGGGGATCACTAAAAGCCATCCGTAGTAGCATCCTTCGCGAAACAACCCTTCAAACCTCAAAAAGGCTGAGTAGATTGCACGTCTGTTCGCTTCGATGCACTGGGCCCCATTTCGTCCAACGGGAAAGCAGCACCAGCCTATGCAGATGTCAGATGTTGTCATTTCTTGCTGCATACAGTTGCTTTTGTTGGCGGCGTCAGTGCTGTTGTCGTAGTGGTTGCTGTTGCCAGGGCGACTAGCACTGTTCCTTATTGTTGCTGGCTTGAGCATCGTTATGGGCTTGGGGTGCAGGATTAGCGGCGTAAAGCAAGCATCCCTTTTGTTTGAGGACGCACTGTCTCCTCGAATCAACTGCGATTCAACACTGCTGCCGATTCCGAAGGACACTGCAGAAACAGTTGAGGGCTCAACGAGACATGCGACCGTGAACCCGTCTTGCTGATACTGCTAGCGACAGAAAGGTATAGTGTCCTTCTCCCTTACTACAAGTCTTGTCTACCGACGACGACGAGTAACGTTACAGGCTAAGGACATGATCAGATGTAAGGCCTCGCTAAGCAGTTTCAAGACGATTTTGGCAGCGCTCATCTTGCCAGTGGAGTTTCAGACGCCCGAACGCTTCTACATTCGGCTTTTGTTTGGGACACTGCTGCAGGTACTGGAGCTGCTGAGATCTGTGTACACATGGCCCAAACGCAGCTGTTGCAGAGCTAATCTTGTTCTGGCCTGCATGGCGTGGGGCTTGCGGACTCGTGTGCGCTTTCGTCCCGCATCCCTACAACACCCCGTGATTCGTGCTTGTGCCCTTCTTCTGCAAGTTTTCGGAAGCTTTGCTGCAGGACACGGTGTACCGTGACTCGAACCTCCTGGCGATCCCGAAGGAAGCAACAATCTCTTTCATGAGGATGATGATGATACTGGGTCATGTGGACAAGTGTCAACATCAGCACCGCCTGTTGTTGCTAGTGTTTGTTACAAGTGTTACTGTTAAGGTTAGTGTTAGAAAGTTAGTTTTCTTCTTCCTCTTGCTGTTGCTGTTGCTGCTGCTGTTCCTGGTCTTGGTCCTCGTGCTGGTGCTGTGGCTGGTGCTGTGGTTGCAGCGGTTGCTGTTGTTGTTGTCGTCTGCCATTGCCGGATCTTGCTGGTAATGCTGTTCTTTACTGTTGCGTCAATAAGACTGTTCGCAGCCATATGGTATCGGTGGCATCACCATCACCAACATATCCGTCTCCTTTTTTTGGCCGGTCCTCGATATGACACTTTCGGCATCCACATGGCTCTTATGACGAGACTGATCGTAGCCGTCTTTGACATGCCACAGGTGTTTCCGTCTTTGAAATGCCACAGGTGTTTCTTAGGTTCGCTATTGCTTTCGGTAGAGCGTGTACGAATGTGCGGGTTCCTGTCGAATGCAGTGCCTCTTCGCCTCCAGGAAGACGTGTCCCCATTCAGCACACCGCCGCAGCGACAGAAGGCACAGCAGCTGCATATGTGATTTGTCTTGGGTTCCTTTATGAGCTCCTTCAAGACAGGGCGTCTGGAGGGTTTCATGGGGTTTACAGGGTGTTTTCGGGTTTATATAGCCTTCCATGGTTGTGTAAGTTTGCGTTAAGGGTTCCTTGAAGCTGAAGCGGTTGTAGGGTTGGCTAAGTCTACGGTTTTGAGCGCTTGGGGCGCAGAGTGGGATGTTAGGGCTTTGGGGTGGTGGGTGTGGGTGGTTTCGGGTTGGGGATTGAGGACTTACAGGGTTTAGGGTTTTTGTCACTGCGCTGTTAATTTTGCTGTTGCTCTTTTTGACTTTGGGGGGAGGTCGGGGTGTCGCAAGTATAAACGACTTCATACCAAGCACGGAGAGAGATTCAAAGAGTTTGCTGTGTGCATGTGTTGGGATTCAGGGTTTAGGGCTTCGAAAGTTAGTTCGTCTTCAGAAATTGAGCTGTTTGTGGTTTACGGGGTGTTGGTGTTCTTCTTGAATACGATGTCCGACAAGGTCCGTCTCGCGGTTGCTGGTGATTTAATGCTCACGGTATTGGTCGGGCTGAGCAAGATTCTGGGAGTTTTCGCAGGAGTTTCTCCTTGGACCTGAATTTAAGACCCTGTAAGGCTAAGCCTAAGACAGACGCCCTGAAGCCCAAGTACCCTCCTGCAGTAGCCCTTGTCAAACCCCTTACTGGATCCGTTCGGGGTTAAGGGTGTAGGAGCCGTTTGGGGTAGCAGCAGTAGCAGATGTGGTCGGCACCATCTGCATCTATACCCTGCATGGCAGCCTATACTGGATGGTGGGGGTTGGTAGCGTTCGAACGAAAAGGATACAAATGGTGAGACTCAACCCGCCTGACATCACGCACTGCTAGGCTCCCTGCAGCCCACCTTCATCAGTGGTACAGACGACTTGTCCAGGCAGCACCCTAGGGCCCTAGGGGTTTGGCGGTTGAGAGCCATGGCTTCCGTTTCTCTTTTGTGCGGAGGGTGGAAGGGGAGTTCAGGCTCAGCATTGAGGGAGTTGGGCGCAGCTTCGTTCTTCCTCTTTGGTCTGCATCCGTGCACTGATGGACAAAGTCTCGCGCCCTCCAGAATGTTTGAATAATCCACCAGAGGTCCTACAGTCTCGACATATTCTTTCATAATGCTCGGTTCTGTCCACCAGGACTATGGCAGAACATTCCACGCTTCCCAACTCCAACGATTTGCAATTCTCGTCACCCCGCAGGTGGATCTTGTCTCGGAAGTGTGTTGGAGTTCAGGGTTTTATGTCGAGTTGTTGTCCGGCTTCTTTCCATCAGCCCTAATGATTCTGACAGGGTTTGGGAGCGCCTGTAACATAGAAGCCTGAATAGTCAGTGATAAGTTTCCTGTGTGGTTCTATATGACTACAAAACAGTATTATACATCGAAAACCTTCTACTCTAAGCAGAAGGCCTGTATACTAGCCGCTTCCGACGACGTGGTTCGAAGTTGACTATTACAGTAGGCTAATTCGACCCTAAGCCCTGAAGCCTTCGTTTCTTTGATTCTTTTGGCTGCCAGGGCCTTGGGTGATGGATTCGCCTTCGCCACAAAACTGCGCCTCACAGGCGAACTATGCAGTATCTCCAGCTCCGTGTGATGTTTTTCAGGGTTGAGGCTCTGTTGTTGCTGTGGTTCCTCGTTTTGGTGTGCATGGTGCGTGCGGGGCTTCTGGATTTGCGTTTTGTGCTCCATAGGGTGTCCGGGGATGTTTTCTTTGTGTGTTTAGTATCTTAGGATCTACGCTTACCCTGTTGTTTTTTATGTTAGGACATGTGCTAGTCTTCTTTGTCTTGGGGTGTCACGTGCAGAGTGAGGCTGTAGATTGAGGGCATTACACCATTATTTCCAGTCTTCAGAGGAGTTGGGAGGGGTCTTTTTTCTTTTTCAGTTCTTAGTGCCGGTAGCTCAGAGGGAGCCCGCAGCCGGTAATTCAGCAATACACCTTGCTTTACAGTGATTAGGATCCAAGTTGCGGTCGAGATTAATAATTGTCGGGCCTGGCGGTACGGGCGGGCATTGTGGTTGTGGTTGTGGTTGTTGCTGTTGTTGTTGTTGTGGTCTGGCATTGCTGGATCTTGCTGGTGATGCTTTTGTTTACTGTTACGTCTCTATGACTGTTCGGAGCCATATGGTATCGGTGGGAGCACCATTACCAACGTATCCTTCTTTTCCCCATCCTCGATAGCGACACTTTCGGCATCCACGTGGCTCTTATGATCAGACTGATCGTAGCGGTCTTACAGGTGTTTCTTAGGTTCGCTATTGCTTTCAGTAGAGCGTGTACGAATGTGCGGGTTCCTGTCGAATGCAGTGCCTCTTCGCCTCCAGGAAGACGTGTCCCCATTCGGCACGCCGCAGCGACAGAAGGCACAGCAGCTGCATATGCGATTTGTCTTGGGTTCCTTTATGAGCTCCTTCAAGCCAGGGCGTCTGGAGGGTTTCCTGGGGTTTACAGGGTGTTTTCGGGTTTATATAGCCTTCCATGGTTGTGTAAGTTTGCGTTAAGGGTTCCTTGAAGCTGAAGGGGTTGTAGGGTTGGCTAAGTCTACGGTTTTGAGCGCTTGGGGCGCAGAGTGGGATGTTAGGGCTTTGGGGTGGTGGGTGTGGGTGGTTTCGGGTTGGGGATTGAGGACTTACAGGGTTTAGGGTTTTTGTCACTGCGCTGTTAATTTTGCTGTTGCTCTTTTTGACTTTGGGGGGTGGTCGGGGTGTCGCAAGTATAAACGACTCCATACCAAGCACGGAGAGAGATTCAATGAGTTTGCTGTGTGCATGTGTTGGGATTCAGGGTTTAGGGCTTCGAAAGTTCGTCTTCAGAGATTGAGCTGTTTGTGGTTTACGGGGTGTTGGTGTTCTTCTTGAATACGATGTCCGACAAGGTCCGTCTCGCGGTTGCTGGTGATTTAATTCTCACGGTATTGGTCGGGCTGAGCAAGATTCTGGGAGTTTTCGCAGGAGTTTCTCCTTGGACCTGAATTTAAGACCCTGTAAGGCTAAGCCTAAAACAGACGCCCTGAAGCCCAAGTACCCTCCTATAGTAGCCCTTGTCAAACCCCTTACTGCCTTGGTAAATTAGAACTGTGGAAATCGTGGAACGCGGGACGACAAAAAATCCTATTCTTAATATAAGCCCACTAGGCTGGCGGGTCCTGGGCCGAGAAGGTCCTCGCGGAAGCGACTCGGCGGTGAAGGGGGCATGCATTGCACTTGAATTAAGTTACTACACTGACTACAAGCTACTGGACCCGGCACTTGAGGGGTGGTGGGGGGTTTGGAGGAGTTTGTGGGGTTTGGTCAGAAACAACCCCCAGATGTCATCCGCTTGAGGTCATGAGCCGGATGCAAGCCATGGAGGAGACGCATGGCAGCAGATGCTGGGAATCCCGCAGAATTAAGACACCGGAAAATGCACCCTCCGTCCATTAGTGGCAGTCAGATTCGAGTATTCTAAACAAAACGAAGGGTGGTTGGATATATCATTGCATGTATCAAGGAGCCGACATAGTCACGAATGGCATTCCTTGGGGCTCCTCTTTCGAGTATTCCTCGAAAGCTTATTCCAATCCTTTTAGGCCGCTGGGACTTGTTGTCCGAGCGGCGAAACTCGCAGCTCGGCCATTAAGCTCCTCTAAGCCTCGTCCCAAACATAAAAACGAACACGGGTGTCATAATTTTAGTCAGAATGCCCCTGCTGATCATTAACGCCAAAACCCTATTCTAGTTATTAAGGCTCCTGCAAGACGGGCTGGTTGTGTGGCCTGCATTCGGGAGTCAAAATGTTAAGCCCCACCGGCTCGATGTCCACACGATGCTGTTGTTCATTTACCCGGAACTTTCAGAAAGTAGGGAACCCTATGGATAAGCTTCCAAAGACCGTAGTAGGCCTTTATTACAAGACATAAACAAACATCAACATCGTTCGTAAGAACCCCGCTCCCTTGCCGAAGGAATGCTGATGGATATGAACTCCCGGGTCCGGGTGTACCCTAAGCCGTACTTGGAGGATCATGGGACTTAGTAAGGAAGGTTGTAAACATGGTAACTGCAGCTATACTTAAGGTTAGTTATAAGCCCAAGTTCAGGTACTTTCAACCTTTCTTTACTAGGTCCCATGATCCTCCAAGTGAACCCAGGAAGCTTGAGATGACACAGGCCAGGACCTCACTTGAAAGGAGCGACACTCTGTGAGTATGGTGGAGGCTTTAGGTTTCAACGTTTAGGGGTGTCGTTGCAGGCCAGTTGCAAATTGGTTGAAGAATCTAGGCTTTAGGAATGTTGGGTTTGAGGGTGTTTGCGGTTCGGGAGTCAGGCATCGGGGTCTGGTGTGGTATGTGGCAACTAGACTGGGATGAGCCAGGGACCATAGCCTGGTGTCTTGGGGTGCGCTGGCACTTTCTTGGCGGTCCATACTCACATGGTGACGTCCCGCTGGAAACTCGAGCGCTGAATGCTGGGTTGAGGGCGTCGAGTTTTGCATTCAGGATTTGAGATTTGGGTTTCTAATCGCTACGGGGATGGTTTACGCCAGAAAGTATCGCCTTGAAGGTCTGAACCCCGTGACCGAGAGTGCGCGTCCAAAACATCTAGACTTTTCACTTTTCCGCGGCTTTCGTGGACCGAGGAAACCATCTGCCGGCGTATAGACTTCTCACAGGCAGGGCCGAGATTGAGATTTCAGGAGGTTTCGCTTGCTACACTTTTTATTCTGTGTCCATCAGAATTTGGCTGGGAGAAGGGGGTGGTGTCGAACCCGACAAAAAGACCCAACCAAACAGCGATTATTGCTTGCCTTTTCTCAGCAGCGATGCGTCGTCGAGATGGCAGTAGTAGTGCAGCAGCAACAGCATTGCATTTTCTGCAATGGTGCGCCGCAGGAGACGGTGATGCAGAAGCTGGAGTCCTACTCAGGCGAGAATCAATCACGCTCAGGATTGACTGGCAGAGGCAACGGCTCAAGGATTGAAAGATCCCGACATCGACTTCTGTGATGCTCAAAAGTTCACATGACGACTCTTTGAAGCTCAGCATCTAAGCTTCGGCTAAACTTCGCGAAACTCCCAAGCCCTAATGCCCCTAGCCCAAACCCCTGCTGCGCCGTAGCAGTGGGTAGTATCTCAGGCCCAGATGTTAGCCCCCGTCAGCTAAATGCGGAGAAACTCGGGATCTCATCACAGCAGCCACTTCGATCTCAACAGATGCAGGCTTCTCCCGCCGAAAGCAAAGTCCTGTGGAATGGCATTTGAAGAACATGGACCCAAGCAAGACTGCAATTGGTGATTCTTGTCATGGCGTTTAAGTTACAGTTGCAAGAACATGTGGTATGTAGTTTGATAGCTTTTGCTTGTGATAGTTTCCCAGCGCTCATTGCCGTGTAGAAACCCTTACAACCGCCTCTGCGCTGACAAGACCTCTTACGAACTCCTATAAACCCCTATATATATATATATATATATATATATATAAGCCCAAAATCCTAAACTCCTAAACCCTGAACCCTATTATAAACCCTGCAGACTACCCGGCTTTGCCAGGCCTCGTTCAGAACATCAACACTGCCAGCGACAACACCAAGAGATCCTTACTGGACACGGTGTCTTGGTTACAGAGGGGTTTAGGGTTTAGGGTGGAGTCGTGTTGAAGGGTTGGGAGTAGGGGATTATTAGGCTTCTTCACATGATTTTTCAGGTTTTTAAGAGCACAACCAAAGAAGCTCAACAAAAAAGAAGCTCATGATCTGGTTGGGGTTGTGTCGTCTTGAGTCTTGAGATAATTTAGAGCATACTCACTACGTCGCTGAATCCGTTCAGCACCCCGGTATTATTACGAGCTGTCCTTCGCGAGTTGTACAGCACCGTTTAAAACAACACCAGCTATCATACTAGTACATCTTCCTTATAGCAGCTGCGATCCGGGGGTGGGTCCTCGTCGAATATCAGAAATTCCAGGTGGTTGACAAAGAAGTGGGCGGATCCAGTGTTCGGTCGAGACTTGTTGGCGGGATGGGTAGGATTGCAGATAAAAGTCGCATCATGCAATTGTGTGCTCATTCGTGACTGTGTTGTCGGCTTCGCCATGTCTAAGGACACAAGCACTCAAAGATACAACTTCTCAATCCGTGAGCCATGGGACACCACCGAACCTTTATGGCCAACACTTTCAGGTCAACACATCCTCCGCCCTTATGCTACAGAAGCTGGATACCATGCAGCAGGCGCGCTATCCCAACTTTTGGAGGACCACAAGTAGAACAATGTGGTGGTTAGAAAGAAATAGAAATAGCAGTTCTACGAGCCCATGCTTTACGTGCACGTGATTTGCACGGGTAGCAACAAATCAAGAGCTTTGCTTCACAAACAATCAGCAAACCAAATCTAGAACGGAGTGTTGGCACTCCTTGGATGTTGAGAGAGTTTATCCTGGATTAGATGCTTCGGTCCTCAAGTTGTGTATTCTGGGGCCGAGAGACGCACTCAGCTAACCAGTGCAACAGCAGCAACTATGGCAATTACGTGGCCCTTCAACGAAAACGCATCGTGCATGGTTTTCTCAAGTCTGTTTCCGAGAGTGTAGGGGTCTGTTCATTTCCGGGTTTCCTGTATCCCTGCCTCTTGGATCCTAGCGTTTGCAACCGACTCCGAAACCTTCTGGCTATGAACCAGGTGACGTTTCTCAGTCCTTGGTCATCATTCCCAAATCCGAAAGCCCATGACAGTGCCCACCATGTGCGACTTACTGCCCAGAGAGCTTTGTGATTGCTTTATAGCCGTGTGCGACATCCCCTGAAACTGCAAATAAAGCCGGATCTCTAAGTTCAAAATTTGGTCGCCAGGATCTTCTACAGCAGTCGCAGTCCTTCGAACTGCAAGGACTTAGAACTAATAGCAGAGCATTGGGCTTGATGAATTGAGTGGTTGTGCCGATAATAGGGCATCCGGACAAGTGCAAGGCCTCATTGTGTGGTTTCGCAAGTCTTCCGTTTCCGATGCAGACCTGTTCTGTTGTTGGGTTGGGATGCTGTGACTGCGGGGCTGTGGGGCTCGAATTTATTTCCTTTCGACGAAAATGCAGGTAAATGTTAGCGCTGTGAGACCCTCCCCTGTCAGGCACACCGCAGGTTAAAAATATCCCTGAGCCGAACCCAACCCAACCCAGGACCCCCACTCCCCTCACCCATCAGAACCCAAATCCTGAGCACTATGTGGCTTTAGGGGTTTTAGGCTTTTTGGGCTTTAGGGTGATTAGGGTTCCAGTTTTCTTTACATTTGGCTTATGCCAGCTTCAGCGAGGGGTCGAAGAAGGGCCTTGACACCATGGGATCCTGTCGTCCCTAAATGGCCCCTACACACCAAAGCCTTAAGCCCCCCACATGCCATGGATCGAGGTTTACGACGCGCCGTCTGGCGGAGATAGAGACGTGCCTGAGCAAGCAGGTGGGTTCCAGTGCCGCCGAATTGCCTGCTGCTGTTTGAACATTCTTGATTGAGTTCCGGGGCTAGGATTGGGAGGGTGCAACCGCGATGGAAGGGAAGCCCAACCCTAACATTGTGAGGCCTGTATGAAGGAAATGCGCATCTTGTGTGAGGATAATGGCTCCGTGGCTGAGTGATGTGGAACCTGCAGAATTATGACACTTAACGATTCAGGATGTGCATGCTGCCTCACAGATGCTTGGCCGGAGCAGCACTGACAGAAATTAGGTTTGCCTAAGCCTGCTGGTGCCGTGCAGGAGGGGGCTGAGTAGCAGCAAAGCAACAGCCATACCACAGCAAAAAGCCTCCGGCGGTTGTCTGGCGCTTCGGTTGAATGCGCCGACGCTGCCCTCCGAGACATCAATGCCCACAACGGTCTGCAACATCCTTTTTTGGGGTTCGCGGATTGCGGACCCAAAGACCAAAAACCTCGGAGATTAGTAGCGTCCGCAAGGTACTTTTGCGGGCTGGAAACCCAGACTTGGGCCACTTCTGGCACATTTCAAGTTCCCTCAAGTGGCTACCGGCGAGTAATCCAAAGACCGACCTACACAACCTTTCGCAAAAAGCCACACATAGCAAGGATTCTGGAACGAGATAATCAGGAAAAAGCAATGATGCTCGAAGAGGGTTCCCAACTCGGGACGAGCACATACAGGCCAAAGTCCACAGCCCTTCCCAGACTTTGTGTCCTGTTTCCACAGTATGCCAGGCTACATTCTTCTGTGTTATGTGATGTTGGGCTAGGTCGGGTGGTTTCGG